AAAAGAGAAAGAGAAAGGAGGATACCCGTTGCATAAGCTATATTTAACTGCACCTGCTGGCGCCAGACTATTCGCACACGCGTTCACATGCATATTATACGCGTTGCTATACAAGACGCAACGCACTCTGGTGTCGAACGTCCGTTTCATCCGGCAGGACAAGGGCGTGCATGTGACGAGACACTCTTGATTCTACTACATTTGTAATGTTTGAAATAATTTGATACATTTAACATTTTATTTTAAATATTAAAATTTTTCAACAATTTATAGATTTTTTTTTATGGAATTTGTTTCATTTAATCAAAATAGAATTCATGAAATTTTAATTTTTTTTTAAATTTTTGTTATTTAAAATTTAATCATGTATTATGTTAAAATAAAGGATACATTTTTAAAATTATTTAAAAAAACTCGTGATACGCATTGAATAGCATGACACGCAAAGTCCAGTCATGGCCCTCTCGATAATGTTCCCCCTTCTTACTCTACCGATCCCAACCGAAACGAATCTAATAATAACTTGACCAGATCATGCTCGAATAATTGGTAGGGAAAGAAACAGAGGAAAAAATATCGAAACACGAGTCCACCGAGGGTAAAATGTGCTTCTTAGACGCGCGGCCAAATATGGAGCGACACCGAATGATCTTAGAAAACCACTACAGCGTTTAATTTAATTAAACTACGCGAAACATGCGGATGACGATGAGCTTGACCAATGGGTGTGTCCGTCTAACGATACCCGCCTACCCACTTTCAACATTCCTTGTGTTCGAATCGACTCAATTGTTTTAACCGATAATATATAATTTTAAAAAATATGAAAAAAAATATAATATATAATTAAATCGTAGGAAAAATAATTTTTAATTTTAATTGAACATTTAAACGAATAAAAAAAGAAATAATAAAAAGAAGTAAAAATAGTAACACAAGTGGGCACGTGGTATCCATGTTCAAATTACGCGCGTTATATAATCCTACGATCGTTCCGGCAGGACGTGACTATCGATAAATCATCATGTTTCAAAACGATTTTTTAAAGAATGAAATTTATATTTTTTAAAAATATATGAAACCGTAAAAATTTTATGATTAAATATATATAAATATATATATTTTAAATATAATGAAATATTGTAAATTAATATCTGTAAGCAAAAAAAATGAATAGAAAGCTTTAAATTTAAAATAAAATTTACACTCACCATGCGCAGAATGTTCAAGATTTTTCCAATAATATGTGATTATCATCGTGGATATCGACTTCACCAAATCCTTACAAGGTCTTCGATCGATCCTTTAGTGGAAGTAAAACGAAGAGGGCGTAGAGGAAGACCAGTGCACCATTCCAGATATAAGATGTGACGCACTCTCGACTAAAGTGCACGATGACTTGTCGCCGCCATCCTTTATGCTAACGAGAAGGCTCAAAGAAATAGATTTGTCAGGAGATTCGCAGATCACTGAGAATCGCACAGGATAAGAAAGGATTATACTTTTGTGTCGCGCAAGCCCGAAAACCGCACTGTCAGACGGAAGCATGGCACACGATTGAAAACGAATATAAAGGAGGAGGATATAATGACGGAAGATGCAGAAAAGCATTTCAAGCCAAGCAAAAACTGATGAACCGAAAAGAGTGGGGACAAATGGAGAGACGCGAATGAGAGTAGACTTCCTTCCTCTTTCGCCAACGCATGTGCGAGAGGATGCAAGCGAACTGACTTCATTCGTCGACGCGTATTCCTCGTTTCTTCGTCGAATTCTGACCACGAATGGATTTAATAATGGATTCAATAAACTCTTAAAATTCACGAAGTGAAAACAAACGATTAGGAACGACGATCGCGATTAAAGTAACTCCGTTCACCAACGGAATGATCGTCATCCACGAAACTAAACGAACTGCCAAGCAACTCGACACAAACGAACTTCCAAACTGGTGGAACGAGCGGCGCGAACTAAGCTGCGCGGAGGTTGGCGAGAACTCCGGCCAGTCACGAATGCGCGTTTCCATCGTGCCGCCGGGTGGTGGGGATAGACGACGTGCGTATGAGTGCGTTCGTTCCACCGAGCGACGGAAGCATGGTGGGGAGTGGGGCTTGCGCGATATCGCAGGAGCGGGGATGCGGCTTAACGCACCCCGTGAATGATGCAGGTGACAAGTAGGGAAGATGATTGCATTCGTTCATTGCTACTGGTATATTGTTAATTAATTTCTTTGCTGTAATTATGAATTATTATCTATTGGAGATACATAATATTTATATTTAACAAATACAATTTACTCGTTATAATTGAATTTTAATCAATGAAAGATAATGATTATATTTGATGTACATAATCGAGTGCAATTTGAACGATACATTTCACAACAAATATACGAATTCATCATTAAGTATTGTAACTATTCAATTAACTCGCTATTCATAGAAAGTAACGTAAAGTAGTTAATACACTCGTATCGCTGTATTTTACGACACGTTAGCACAGAATGCTTCGTCACCGAGTTCAAGGATGATAACGCTTCGCGTTACAGGCCATTTACGTATCTTTTTTTACCTTATAAACTCCCGTTGTAAATATTATATGGTATTTTGAAGAAACGGAAAAGTAGTCGCAAGTAAAAGTAATGTAATAATGATCACTTAATTATCAATATGTATCATGAACACGAGTGATTGCGACAGAAATTCTTATCTCGATTGCGTGATAATGGAACGTTCGATCCATTACAACAATGATTTACATCCTCTACTCCGTGTAATATAACTTGTCGTTGGAATGAAAATCTCATCCCGTTCACCGTTGTACCATTTATGTAACCAGTGCACTTATATTCCATGTTGGTAATATCTTATCGATGCAGAACGACCTAATGACCCTGTGTTTTTTCATGTCCCAAATTCAAAAAATTTTATCGCGCTTAAAACTAATGATGCCTTGGTCTTACGAAATAGGGCGAAAGTGGCATTCTATCGATAATGAGTTGAACAGATAATGTCTCGATGCGTGGAGAAATGGGTATACATAGTTCATATTGCATCATGTCAGGACTATGTCGATAGTTGTGATGAGATGCGAATGGAAAACGAATTTTTCATTATGAAATAAAAAATTAACTTTAGAACCGTTATCTCTATAACTCGCTAGATATAGATAATACTTTTTTGAAGTAAAAAAAAGTACTATAAATTTTAATTTTTTGTATGTTTTTTTGTACATAATCCTAAAAGTAAGAAGATGACGTAAACACTTAATTTCATTGCGTTCTCAATACTATATGCTAATAGTATTTCATAATAAAGGATAATTTCCAACTACAGACAATGTAATTTTGAATAAATCGTGACCGCACCTTTATGCCGTGAAACACGTTAAAAGCAATTTTCCTAAAAATGGCGGCCAGAGTCGATGGTCAACACGTATACTGCCGGAAAGCAGTATATTGAAAAAACTTCTTGTCCCACAAATCGTTCCATCATTCAAATGCAAATCCATCTACCTTTTCTTTTTCTTCACGAAGATGACGGTCATGAATATATGGAAGGCCAAACTGTTTGAATATTTAGCCACGACCATTATGTACCCGGTTACCCGTTAAACGCATCGCAAGTATACGCTGCTTTCTTCATCTCAACTTAGAAAATTCGAAGTTCCATCTAAGTAAACATTGAAGAACGTGTTCACGAATCAACCTGAAAAAAAAAAAACAATTGTCAATCACGGTCTTTCCTTTTCAAAAATTTATTCTAGAATTTCACTACTTGTATATAATAACACCAACTGCTTACAACCGATTGTTCAAAACTGATAGTATAGATTCTTCTCTCCGAGCATATCACGGAATCTATAGCAGGGGACCGAGAATGCAACAGTCTCTCGGTTGGCTCGTTTTCAAAGAATAAAAAGTGAAGAAATTCGCCATCACGGTCAGTGACACTACTCACGATCGGCATATTTCCTTGACCACGTCATCCTCGAACAGTGACCCCCGTGGTAGGGCGAGAATTTGCGGAGTGTATTAGTAGGCCATGACGAAAATATCAGACGGTCCGGATAGTAATAGCAAGCATCTAGACGGCATTGACCGCGCCCGAATCCGCGCGCAGGTCGTTCCCCGTTCTTCATGCTGCTCGTTAAAGTCACATTTAGTCAGAGGAAGCTTTACCAGAGTCGTATATGCGTATTTAGAAATGGCGTTATACCAGAGCATCGTTATTAGTTTTCGCTTGGTCGGTTGCGAGGTTAGGAACCATGAAATTATGCAAAAGCGAAGAACGTCCAAAATGATTTCCCTCCTAGTCTCTCCTTCTTCGATTGTTCGTATCGATTAAACATATATAGCAGATGTCTTTTGTAGAGCACAGTTTTCCTTAAAATTTTTACTTTTACTATGCATGATCATAACCTTAACAAATTTTTACTATGCATGATCATAACCTTAACATTCTCTTCAGACTCGTTAAATTCTCGTTTACCCTGCAAAAGATTTTGTCGATTAGAATTCTGGAGAAAGTTGAATATTTTCGAATATTATGCATATTTACTAATTTTGAAACTAAATTTCTACTTAAAAATAAAATAACATATTATAAACGAATTTCAATCTTTAAAAAAAAAAAAAAAAAATAGATTTCAAGAAAGAAGTTTCAATCCAGCGTTAATTTTAAGTCCAACACTGTTATAATCTCTCGAACGAAGGATTATACCGGAAATGCGATAGTTCACAGAGGTAAAGGAATACATAAGCCACACCTAGATATAAAGCGAGTGAAATACATGTAGACAAGGTAGAAAGGTCGAGTCAGTAATATATATCCT